ATGGGATTAACCTGTGCTACATATTTCCCAGTTTTTTCTGAAGTGGAGCAAGAAACCAACATTACACATTTCTCAAAAAGGATGAAAGAGAGTGGATCACATGCTCCATTGAAACAAGGAGACACTGTGAGGTAAGCATACTTAAAACACTTAAAGAATATTTTGATGTTTTCTTTGGACCAAAGAGAATTGGAGAATGCCAACGACTAAGAGATAATTCCCCTTTTCACCAACTGTGCTATAACATCTCAGTTTGCATCTCAAAATGAGCCTCTCCTAAAGCAAAAACAGATTAATCATAAGAGGGAAAGTTGTTTGTTTGCTTTAAAAATCCATTTAAGATACTGCAAACATCTATAAAGATATGTTACCAAAATGAAGTAGCCACATAAACTCCACATGCAAGAAGTGAGAGACCAGCAACAAATCAAAAGGGACTTTTTAAGCCAAAAATTTTAACTCCAGAAAAAGCTCTTAAAAATGTACGTGATATTACACAAGCACTCTATATGACAAAAAGCAAATGAGAAATCAAAAGTGAAAAGGAAACCAGAAAGATATAGGTGATAAAGTTATCTTGTTAATGAACTTACCAGGTCTAACATTACACAGGTTTTCCAAATCTTAAACGACAATGTCTCAGAAAAGAAATTCTTAAATCAAACCGAGTGTATAGTTTACTTCAGGATGGGCTTAAATAAAGCATATGTATGCTGGTTTTGGCTGGCATAGAGTTAATTTCCTCACAGTGGGTAGTATGGGGCTGTGTTTTGGATTTGTGCTAAACACAGTGATGATAATATAGAGATGTTTTTGTTACTGCTGAGCAGGGTTTACACAGAACCAAGGGCTCTTCCTCTTGTACTGGCACACTGGTGAGAATACTAGGGGTCTATAGGAAATTGGGTGGAGACACAGCCAGGACACCTGACTCTTAACTGACCAAAGGCATTATGCTTAGTATATAAAGTGAGGGGGAAGAAGGAGGTAGGAGACATTTGTAGTGATGGCGTTTGTCTTCTCAAATAACTGTTATGCCCTGTTCTCCTGGAGATGGCTGAACACCTGCCTGCCCATGGAAAGCAGTGAATTAATTCCTTGTTCTATTTTTCTTGCATGTGCAGCTTTTGCTTTACCTATTAGACTGTACCTCAACTCATGAGTTTTCTTGCTTTTACTTTTCCAATTCTCTCCCTCACCCCTGTGGTGGGGAAGGGAACAAGTGGCTGCGTGGTGCTTGGTTGCTGGCTGGGGTTAAACCATGATAATATGTTATAAACAACATCTGAGGTTACTACAGGATTTTGCCAGAAGCTAAAATGTAAGCTGTCTCATCTCATAGCTTAGGTGAAGTTATGATACCACAGCTGCAGGGTACATGGAAGGAAAGCTTGATCAGACTGACAACAGGATTCCTGTGAAGACAAGGAGCTAAAATGAAGCTTAAGTTTCCTTCTGTCATACCGCACACAACATAGCATTAATTGTTGAGGAATACATTTCACAGTGTGCAGCTGCAGTGTAAGCAGGCCATGAACTGCTGACCCTTGCATAACAAAGGGCACTGGGACCAGACACTCAGACACACAGCAGGAGCCGATGACCCACAGACTTTTGGACTGTAAGGGTATAAAAGCCCAGGGTTTCCTTGTTTGGGATCCTCCCTCCTTGCAGGCACCCAGCTCAAGCTGTTATTTTGTGATTTACTTATTGCACCAAGATTAAATAACTTTAAAGATCAAGATGTCTGATACTCTGCCATGGGAAATCTAGGGTCAAGCTGGTAAGGAAACCCAGTCTGACTGTGAGTGTGGGGTGTGCAGCTGTGAAGGGGCCTCGGTCCTAGTTCAGGTGATGCAAGTGTGACTGTCAGACTGGCTCCTCAATGGTTGGACAAGGGAAGTTTCCTGCCTGTTACAATGAAGGATATTCAGTCCTTTGAGAAGACAACAGCAAGATGCTGGTCTTCTCATGAAGAATGTTGTGCTCCTCTTTTGTTATGACTGTCAGTGGTGCCATTTATCAACTAATAGCTATGATTAATGCTGGTATTTCTAGCCACATAAATATAGCTTTAATCTACCCCCTATTCCTCTGAGAATGTTGTGGTATCTCTTTTTATAAATTTGGGGAAGAAAAATTGTGCAGAACATGCATGACAAGAGAATTCAGCTTTGAATTCTAAGACTGCAATACAATCAGCAGCAGGTTTCCAAAAAAGTTATGTGAAACTGCAGTTCAAAAACTAAAACTTAACTTAAATTCAAGTTCATATTATTTTAGAGTGAAATTCACAGTACTTGCAGAAAATTGAACTGTCAGACTTAAGCAGAGGATCTGAGAAAGATTTTGGAAGAATGGGGTGTTAGGCGCTGTTACAGACTTATAGTGTAAGACTCCTTTGAGACAGTCCTGGAATAAATATTCCAAGATGTGTTAATATATATCACATCTGTTTCAGTAGCTCCATTTAGCATTTGAATATACATTGTTACACAGTCCCTTCTGCGGACTGTCCTCTAATCACTTTCTGTGTTGTAATCTCTGCTATAAGCAAAGCACTGCTGCAGCATGCTAGCAGTGCCACAGAAACACTGATACTGGCTCAGAGCAAAGGTCCTGTGAGTTCAGTCCTTTGTCTCTAAGAGGGCTGTAAGCAGATGCTAATGGAAAAACAAGAGGACACGTACATATGCTATATCCTTCCAGTGCCCTCCTAGGCATCAAGAATTTGCAGTGAGATGTGTTTTCTGTGCATTTCAATGTCTTTTGTGGATTTTTCTTCCGTGAACTCACTAAATCTCCTCTGCACCCACATAAACTTCCAGTAAGAAACCAGTTTTACATGCCCAGTGAAACACCACCAGATATGTTAATCACCAGTGATACACTAAACAATGAATAAAAAAAAGCTGCTATTATAGTTAAAAAATTTAGACAAAACTGACTACCCAAGTCAAGCCCCTTTCTGTGCACTTCCTATTGAGCTGCCATTTGAATCCACTAAGTGCCTGACTAATGTGTGTAAAGTCTCCTCAATTCAAATGCTGCAGGTGCTCCTAAAAACTCACTCCAGGTAGCTCCACAAGGGAAAATAAGTAGAAACACAGTGGATGGCAGCCAGGGCATTCAGTCACGAGTGAATGGGTCCTAGCTTGATGTCCTAGTACCAAGTGCAATTTCTGTATTTTGCCCTTAAGAAACAAAAGCTCAGTCCTGGAGGCCCAAACCCAGTGGAGATCTTAAACCTTCAATGCAGGAGGGAGCACATCTGTAGTTCCTACCTGGTCTGAAGTAAATTCTATACTTCACTAAAGTGCAATGCACACACTCCTTCCTGACAAGCTTGCAGTGCCTCCGTAAAACATTCCTTTGGTTGGTTAAGATGGGAGTGCTGAGCTTTTTCAAGGACAAGAAAAAATTCAGAAAGGGAGCAAAAAATAATCCATGCATCTTGCTTTTTTGCTAAGTTTTCAAGTTACAAGACTACTCTCTGATTCCACAGCCCAACAACCTTCCCCTGTACCTCTTCGAAAGGAGAACCAGTACTTGCTCAGCCTTCTGGAAGGTTATAGGTATATGCCATCCAAAGCAAATTACTGGCTCTGAAACAGGATGTGAGAAGACTGCAACCCTTGATTCTGGGCTCTAGGAATAATAAGTACTGAGAAAATACCACTCTTGCCATGTTGCCTCCCAGTTAGCTTTCAGAGGTTTTCTTGCTGCTGAAGCAGCAGCTTTCTGAAATTACCTTTTAAAGCACTTAACATTTTATACGGCACCTGGTATTTCCACCTCAGGAATCAGATCTCCTATTCTTTATTTAGTCTAGACCTAAACTCTCGTATTGTGGGAGAAAAAAGTACATATGTCTTCCTTGCATATGAATAATCATGTTTACATTCAAATTTTTATCCATTTATAAATAATATGAATAATGGATGTGACTTAATTTCAACACATCATTCAAAAACTGGGGAAATCTCTCTAGCTCATGCAACAGAAACATTTGAGTGTCTGTGTTTAACGAATTTCAAGCAAAGCTTGACAGAATACCAATATATCTAGAGGAAGAAAAGTTTATTCTTGCAATGGTGAGTGTATAAAAATTTCAGCTTCATGACATAAGTATCAGTGGAGTAATTTCCTATTCATGTAAACAGCTGTCTAGGTTTCTACTACCATATCTGAGATCTGAAAGCAGTCATATAACTTTATCAGGTAAGCATGGAAAGGTCCTGTGCAATACTACTTATTTAAATATTTATTATGGCTTCTTCTTTCTCACAGGAAATGTATTACAGGTAATCCAAATATGCTGTTAATCAGATTTATCATGCTTATATCGCTGTTCAGAAAGGGGATTACTGACTTACCTAATATTAAATATGAGCTGCAGTTGTATGGACAACTGAGTTATATGCAACAAAGACACCTCTTAGGAATCCTTTCTAAATCTGAATTATGTGTGTGGTACATGTCTGAGAGCAGACTGAAAAATGCTAATATAAGACTGGCAGAGTGACAAACAGGCAAAGCCTGGACACATCCAATACAGGGGTTTTACTGTTTTTGTCTTTAAACACAGCTCCAGTGTTTATCAATTAAGCAGTCAAGGAATAAAATAAACAGCAAGACAGCACATGTGCAAGCAAGACAGCACAAAGCTACATAGTTAAAATAAATCTACTGACCTTTTCTTAGTTTGAAATATTCAAAAAAGAGAGGAAAATTGTCTAGCACAAGTATTAAACCAATATTAGTTAAATCTTATTACTCCACCTGTGTGGGGTTAACTGGCCCTAGCTCCTTTCACTTCATGCTCTTGAGTTGAAGAACTTCTACAAAGTTTGAAGCTGAGTTGAACTGAGCTTCAACTTGAACTTATAACTCAAATTTATAACTCAAACCTTAATTGTAATTTTTATACCCTCATATAAATTTACAGAATGAACATGTAGCTTCCCAATCATTATGGCAGTGATTAACAGCACACTTACCGCCACGGTCCCGGGCAGCTAGATTTTGTCCTCTTCTTAGAGTAACATCCAACTGGTACATTCCAGGGTCCCCAGAGGGAAAATCTGCATTACTTATTCCAACCAAATTTGTTCTCTGCAGAGGGTGGAAATAAAAACACGATAGCTGATGTTACTAAAAGTTTCATGTAAGGTATGTACATATGTATTATGTATCACCATCCTACTGAACTAAGACAAGGCCATATCCCATTCCCCCACCTCAGAGCTAATATCCAGCATCAAGGAATCTGCCCATCTCATCAGTAGGACAATTCCTGAGATTCACTTTTTTTTTTTAACAAAACCAACAAACAACACCAGAAAAATAAACTGGTTGACAATTGATAGTTGAATATGTTATTTTAAAAATGTGGTTGAAAAAATGATTCTTTGATATAGAGGAGGTGAAACTAAGGTCTTTAAAGTCCCTTCCAACCCAAATCATTTGATGATTCTATGAACCTCCACTTTTAATTACATTCACATACAGTCCTGGCCCACTAAAGCAAAATAGGTAAGAAAAAAAACCTAGACCTTACAGTACTATTTGGACTAGTCATCACCGGTACCCTCAAATCCTGTGTTTATCCAACAGTGATAATCTATGCACTGAATAAATATACATGAATGAAGATTTTGTCAGCTACTGCAGTACTATGGGGTTTTTCCACAAAGTTCTGGGGGAAGCTGTGAGGGGAAAATGATCATAAAAGACATTAAATGCAGCTGTAGCTCTGCATGCCAGGACAACCACTCTTAGATTAGTTATTTGTATAAAATGTATCAGTAAAAAAACCCCCAACCAAACCAATAAAGGAAGTCAGAATGCAAGGAACTCTCCGCACCTCCAGACTGCATGAACAGTAACCACATTTCTGTCCCATACGACAGAGTAGAGAAACTGTATTTCTTAGTACACATAAGCTTTTGCAAAATAGTTTTTAACACGTCTCTCTGTAAGTAGAATCTAATTACAGTGTGTGCTTGGAACACTACATTTTATTTTAAGACTAGAACAACTATATCAATTATACATTCACAGTACATACAGAAGCTTTATCTTTTCCAATGAACATCATACACATATGCTCAAGCCAGGAGCTAAATCTTTTAAAAGCAGTGCTATTAATATTTTATTATGTGATTACGGGTCCTCTGCAAGGGAAAAAAAAAGCAGCATGATAGAAATATCACAGAGACCACATGGGTACCAAGTGCAATACTATTTCAAAAAGAAACAAGTTTTGTCTTCTTTCTTCCTACTAAACCCTTTTTTCTTATTAAGGTAATAATGAAACTACAGCACAAAGGCAGGCACAAAACAAAGGCATTTCAACAGATGGCTTATTCTCATTCTTCCAGAGTCGCAACTCTGAGCCCTAACATATTTAACCTTTGCTGCCACACATACAGTGCTGGCCAAATCGCACACCAATATGCTCATTGGTTCCACAGCAATGAAATTTTTTCTACACTAGTGCATTTCAAAGAAAATGATTAGATAAGCTTTGATTTGGTGTGGGGGGGTTGTTCTTCAAATCTAGCAACATTTATCTTTTAATTTTGTCCTTGTAAAGTAACTGATGAGGCATGCCTGAAAATACCAAAAGACCTTGCAAGACTCTTGCAGAAGGCAGCCACCAGCTTCTTTTAAATTACTAACTCCTCACTTACCATCTCTTTTATTCACTCTTTTTTTTTTAATGCACTGTCTGCAGGATACAAGACTGAAAACAGTGACCCCACTCCTGCAATGCTTAGTATCTAGTCCAGTCAGAAATAAGGAAAAAGCTGCATAATGGCCCCAGCCTCATCCACAACCGCAGCATTTATCACGGTATTATGAAACGAAGAAATGTGTTCTGCAGTAACAATAAAACCTAAAACTTTCCTTCCACTTTCTTGCCCTTCTACAAGAATTTGCAGTCACAAAAGAAACATGATGTCTCCCAGCATTCATATTCTTCCTTGCTGAGTCTCCCTCTCTCTTCCCCTCTGAGGTAGAACACAAGCTCTACATTAAACTTCCTCGGTTTAAACATGTTGTTTCCTTTTTCACTTTTCACATATTTTTCAATGTTTTTCCTTCTTTTTTTTCTTGCAACAGAGCTCCAGTTTCTTTTTGATATTTATATTAATCAGTTTTTCAGCTGTTCAAGGAGGCTAGAAACACTTAGGTGAGCAATGTAACAAGCCTACAGTATGTAAACTGTTAAACAAAAAGCAGAGATATTAACTATCCCTAAGTATTTAGAAAGTCAAACCAGCATTTCTACATCCCAATAGTACCATCAGAAGTACCATTCATTAAAACTGGAAGTTGCCATAATAAACACAACTTTCAATAAATCATTTTTTCAATCACCTATTTTAATTAATGAGTTCAAAACTTAAAATGGAAACAACAAACCACTTTTGCACGGCCTGTAGTAATGAGCTGAAGTTAGAAATATTCAGACAAGCAACTTGGGAGCATGCATGAAAGCCTACAATCGCCCTAACCATAGAACTCTTTCAAAAACAAATTTTCTGAAGTTCTGCACTCAGAATAATTCAACCAGTGTCAAGAAAAAAGCTCTCTGTACTTAGGAAAAAAAAAATTTAAAAAAAAAAAACAACAACAAAAACAACATAAAAAACCCAAAACACAAAAACCATCACAACTAGTAGTTTTTATCCTCAAGGCTGTTTCTTACTGACTGCTACAGGATGACACCAAACCTGACAAAGAAATGGCATGCTTTGACTTTTTGTGTCTAAAATGTGCAGAATGTGTTGAAAATACTTTTAATAAATCTTTAACAAAAATATTGAGATTCCAGACAAAGACCAGAAAGGCTCAAGTATCCAGCTTCAATTTTAAGACGGAAAAAAACATTTTGGCCAATTACAGCTTTATTGTGTCTGCCATCAGAAGAGTAAGACACAACCTCACTGCTCATTTTTCTAGATGGACAGACTGAAGGAAGAGTTAACCCCTTGACTTCAAACCATCCATGACATAAGAATAGTTAGGCAAATGAGTCACATTCACAGATACAATACAGATGTCTTCCACGTTCTCTACATTAGTATTACAGCAGCCTGAGTCAATTTTTAGTACCAGAAATAGTGCAGCAGCATTTATAGAAAGTAACCAACTACAGCTGGTCCTACAGCAATCTGCATTGCTCTGTAGACATAAGGAAGGTATACATAAAGTAAAAATGCATCCTATAAAGTAACTGCAAAAATATCCCCTTGATGTGTAACTAGTAATCCTGAAGTGAGAATACCTCAGTCTACAAACGAGATAATGTTGCTCAAAAGTCCAGGGAAAAACACAGTCATGTTTTGCTGAACAAACAGCCCCAACCCAGAAAGAACAGTATGACCTAACCAGCTCCTCCAGCTGACTTGGCTCATTAAGATAGGTATTTTGCTAGTTTCAAGTGCAGTATACACACACAAAAAAATGCTCATGGCCAGCTGGTATCAACATGCCATTATTTTCCTTTTTCCACCACATGAAAAATATGTTTAATGTCTGAAGACATGCAAAACACCTTAACCTTGAAAGGACAAAACAACACAAACTATTTGACTTAATAAAGGAGTGATGTAGTCTAGATATAATTGCAGCAATTTTGTTATGTCTGACTAGAAGTCTAAGGCCTATTTTTATTTTTAAACAATAACATTCCTTGCCTGCAACCTCTTTGTGGTTCAAAAAAGTCTGCACAAAAACAGTGCAAAACAATCTTGTATCACAGGCACAAAAGAGACTGGTAGATTAAACCGCATATCCTCTTCTCAGACCACCCTAGAGCATACTAGCTGCAATATGCCTCTAAAGTATCAAAATATATACTTTCAAAAGCTAGGTAAAGAGATCAGAAGAAGTAGGTAGATAAATGTGGGGTTTTGTTCTACTGGCAGTGGGTCATGGCAATAGGCATCACGGACAGCTATTTATAGCCAGGATGGGCTCAGATCTCTCTATCGCTGACTGGGGGACAGGATGGATCTGAAAGACGGAAGAGCAAGATACAGCGGCCCAGGAAATGCCATATCTTGACCATTCTCCCCTCGTGGACAATGCTTACCCCATCCTCATCTTCAAATGTGGAGTATTGTGTGTTGTGATTATTACTGTGCTGATAAAAGGATAAAAGGATTCACGACTCCTTACTAAAACTTTTGGATAGACAGCAAGATGAGAGAAACAAATTCCTACAAAATTTTGTTGACTCTTTACAAAAGCATTTACAAGATTTGGCTGACCCCTTACAAAAATGTCTAGATAGAGAGCAAAACCCAGGTCCCTCACCCAGAGGGCTGCCTACTGGGCAAGGGGTTTATCTCCCCGGGAAAAGGGAGACCCCGTAAGTATCCTCATGTCAAGTGGGGAGCCTCCAACAGAAAATATTCAGACAATTGATTGTCTTCAACTAATGCAAGACTGCCAGTTAGTGCAGCATTAGCTATCCCCCCTGCATTTGATCACTAACGCCGATTTTACGACTCTACTCATTTGGTGACTATCAAATTCCTTAAAAATGTATGCAATTCAGTTGCAAGACCAATTGTAAAGATGCATTAACCCTTCAGGGAAGACCACTGATGTGGGGAGAGGTGGCCTAGGAATTGATGAATTATGGGAGGAGAATGGGTGTTAGCCTCAATACAGAGAGACAAAAGCCTGCAGTTAGACGAACGGAGCAAGAGAAAGAAAAATCACCCCCTTTATATAAAATGCCTAGGTCAGGGAAGGAGTTTGAAACCCGTCGAAATATGCTATATAGGAGATCTCTTCTATGGAGCTGATGGATGGATTGCCCACTGCTACTCTCAAAAAACTGGTACACAAGTGGCTGGGAGGACAGAAGAACACCAAAAGAGTTGGGATCTCTTCCCCTGAGTGGGAGAAAGTCCTGAGGGCCCTCAGGCTGTTCCAGCTACTCCCTCAGCTCCAGTTGGAGATCTGGTTAGCCTATAATTGGGAAACTCCTCTAGACGTTCTCAAAAAGTGAACTGGAGGATAGCCAGTGGAGGTATTTAAGAAGGCTCACTGAAAACCCACAGGGTGATTTGACTCAGAAGCAACAGAAAAAA